TGACTTTTGCACATACATCACAGCATGAACTCATAAGAGCTCAGGAAAAAAGGCAGCTGGTCTTCAATTTTGGACATTTGCCCTCTCAGTTGAAGCACTGGTGAGTTTCAGACTTCTAAGCTGTAACAGAGCAGAGCACAGTAAGAAAACCTTTAAAGTTGCCACATGTCATTGAGCTATCTGTCCATCCAATGTGTTGTTTGGGTCGGTGAATAGTTGTGAGACCACCCTGGGAGAACAGTCAATGTTGGTTTGTATATATGTGATAGTTGCCAGCTGTGCCAACTCCTTTCATCCTGCTGGATTTCTTGTTTTGTTTTCCCTATATATAGACATCCGTGTTGTCTTTGCTTCACTGCGCAGTAAATCCCACACCTTTCAGCTTTTTCGTGGCTTACGATGTCACACATTGCTCTGATTCCCCATATAACACAATTTCTTTATCAACGATAACAAAAAATAAATGGGATTTTGGTTTTAAGTTACAGCAACCACTTTCAAATACACAGGAAGCATTTATGACTATGAATGGATTAAATACGGAAAATCAAACCTTTTAAGACTGATTGATTTTCACGTTAAAATGGGTTAAAGACGAAATTGTCATCACTGCTGCCAATCCCCTCAGTAAGCTACTGGCTGTCCTACAGGAAGTCCTTGAAAGAAGCTGCTAAATGACATCACAATTGATTACCTGCACGTAATTGAGATGGATGCGGTGGGAGAGATGAATAAATTAATGGAGTCATTGAGCCCATCAAAAAAAGACAAAATTTGTACAAATGCATGTCATCTGCTTGTCACTTCCGGTGCCTTTGCGTTGGTTGGGATATGTGGTTGAGGGGTCCAGTGTTTTGTCACTAGGTACATTTACGTGGACATCTGTAATTGGAAAAAAAAAAAATGACAGATCTGAATAAAAATGCGTCATGTAAATGCCCCAATAGGATTCGGCTCATTTGGAGTGAATTTGTAATGCAAATGAGAAAGCGATTTGATGCCAGTTGATAATCTGAGCGGCCTGCATGTAAACGCTTCGGGTCATACTAATCTGACTAACGTCACTAACGTGACTGCGCATATGTGCGCTATGCCAGGTTAGCAAAACAGGTCTGCTGATCTCTCATCCTTTAACGCAGAAAGACCAGCAGCATACTGCTCAGCCTGTAGCTTAATTAATGAGTGCAGTGGGGTCTCAACCTTTATTAGAACCTGGCATGGGTCCATTCTGGGTGCTCAGAAGATGCAAATAGAAGACATCACTGCAATTGTTTTGTTTTTATGTACAACACAAACTGAAAGTACAACTTTTTCTTATTCTTTCTTTTTTCTTTTTCTTTTCTTTTGTAAGGGAAATTGTACAACTTTAAGATTGCCATTGCTCCTATTCTGAATGAAGCCAAGGACAGACTCACTAGTCTGGGGTTTGAACCTGTTGAGAGGAGTTGGAGTAATACTTTCTTTTATAAGAATCTTACGTAACACCAGACGGTGTGATATCTGTCTCCCTGTAAGGGTTTGGAACTTGGTACCATCAACAAATTGACACATAGTAGTCTTCAATTTCTAGAAACATCACAACAACCCTGAGCCCGAGCAGATGAATCAACTTCAAAAAATTTATTTTAGTGTGCAAATAATTTTTTTTCCCAATGTAATGGATATTATTACAAGTCATTTGGGCTGCACTTGGGCATTGCTGACGTTACTTACCACTATCAGTCATGTTTACTAATGTGTGCACATTTCTAAACATGCACACATCCATAGCTTTTCATACAAAGTAATAGTAACTCCCCAGGACCATATGCCTATATTTCATAAATAACATCAGGATCCATGCCCAATGACGAACCTTGGAGCACAAAGAGAAGAACAAGTATACACACTCACACACAACACACACAGACATATGCTCATAAACACTGATACTGTTCTTTCTTAAAATAGCATGCTTACTCATCTACATAACAGTAACACTGTGGAAGAATAAAACCAAAAAAATAATACTGCCCCCCCATCTTTCAAAAAAAAAAATCTTTTTTTTTCTTCTTTAGTTTAGAGAAGAAACACTTATATATATATATATATATATATATATATATATATATATATATATATATATATAATAGCCAAGATGGCAAGGTTTAATCTGTTATTTATTTATTTATTTTTCTTTTTGCATGATATGCTGTATTTACCACATGAACAGATGGCGGGAGTCACAGCACTATTGGCCCAGCAGACAAAGCTTTATCTCCTGTCAAGGGTAAAGGTGAAGTAGCATATCTTCAACCCACAGATTACTCATAAAGAGCTCAATAATCGCCCAGCAGTTATGGCATTTGAGAATTTTGCACTCTACAAAATATTATCATAACCTGTAGTCAGCAGAAAGCATAGGGCATTTTCTAGGACAGCGAAAGGAGTGAAGTTGTTTTAACATATTCAGAACTCTCTGAAAGACAAGATTATTGTTCAGGCATATGTGATTAAACAATTACAGGTTAAAATCAATATTTTATTTTAGCATTTAGACATGTAAATATATTGGACATTCTTTCCATAGACAGGGTTTGAATATATCAGTCCAGTGTTTTGTAAAATCTCCATTCACAAGGAAAAGCTTTTGGTTTATCTTGCACTTATTTATAGTTATTTGTTTCATAATTCACAATTCAAAAATTCAGAGTTGAATTCTCCCAGTGTGAAAATATCTCTGTGTTACAGTAGCTCAAGTTTCTCAGGTAGAAACAGAGGTCAAAGTTACTGCATGAGAAAAGCATTAATGCCATTCATGAAAGTGCTTATACATAAAAGGAAAAATAAGGAGCTAATTTACACAATAAGGGAATAAACACATAACTAATACTGTGGTAATAATCATGTATGAAAAGCATCATTCACAGCAGAGTTACTGTCTTGTGTTCGAAACCGTGCAGAGCACTTTATTTGATATACTGAATACCGTTTTATTACACAGTCTGTTGTTATGCTGCTATATTTGCCTACATTGTAACTCAGTAGGCTCTAAAATTGTGTAAAAATTGTGAGTAAAATAACTGTTACATCTTACATTTGCAAAATCAATAGTGATTCCAACATTTTCAATGAGGCAGGTCCCATCATGTTTAAAAAAAAATGTTTAGGAATTTGTGTTTTAAAAGGACAAGGCTAAGATATTGCTCTTAATTGCAAAAAAAGGCATTGTATGCTAAAAGCAATATAGACCTTGCAGTTTCACATCACAGTGACCTGCTGTTTAATCATACAATTACCTGCTTTATATAAATGCCATGTAGCATGTAGAAAAAGTTTAAGTAAGAAAAGGGAATAAAATAAAAACATTTAAAACAAAATATCTTGGTTATTTAGTGTTGAGCAGTATTACTGTACTTTAATTCAGAGTCAAAGTCTTCTTTGCTCCGTCTCTGCACCTTAAGGCCAGTGCTACTATTGAGCACAACTACTGTAGCTCCCCTCTGCAGCCCGTGTCCTCTGACCTAGAATCAGCAGGTTAATAACCGGCTGCACCACAAGCCATTTGTCATTCGGTACCTGCCACTGATAAGAGATGTCAACGAATGTCTATGCCCTTGTCCCCTCCCCACTACATGACATATACTGTATCACACTTTGCAATCTTAGACTCCCTGAGGCTTCTTAGTACTCCTCTACTGAACAACTACTCCCACTTGATAGTATTAGATCCTTCTGCCTCGATCCTCAGTGAGATAAACTGCCGATCTCCCTTCCTCTGTTTTCACCTGTTTTTTTCAGCTGTTTTGTTGTTGTTCTTTTTTGTATTGCCACATAAATTTACAGACTTTTTCTTCGTTTTTATTGCTTTTTACATCGCTGCGTCTTTTGCCCTTTTGCGTTGAAAGCCCGATGCCCAGCATTGCCCTGGAGGTGGGTTTTCAATTGGTAAAACGTAGGATTGCTAAAAGAATGGGGATTTCATATGTTGTTGTTCGGTCCGGCACCTATTTTGTCTGAGCGACGTGTAGCATCTGTAGTGATGTGTTGAAAAGAAATGGTTTGTGTTCATACATGACTCAAAAAACTCATTTATGAAACAGTTGGAGTTCCATTCAAAACACATTGCCATGAAAAATGGTTAATTTTGGGCTTTTAGAACTTTTTTGCGACGGTGGATTGTTCATACAGCTTCCGACTTCAATGATGAGAGAACAAAACAGAATCATTGAGCCCACAACAAGGACCTAGCATGATTCTGGACAGATATTTGACTCCTACGGTAGAGCTAATATAACTTGGTTTGCTTCCTGCTGTTACTCTCACATGAAAGAAAATTGGTTAGAATGTTGAATAACAGCTCACCACCAAGACTCCAGCCTATTATAAATTTGTCAAACTGTGTCACTCCTGCAGAAAAGTCAGTTTTAATTTGTAATGTGCAACGAGGGTACTAATTAAAAAAAAAAAAAAGAAGCTCCTGCTTCTAAGGGAGCACCTTAGATATACTGAATACTGTTTTATTACACACATTATTCAGTTGCTACCACGCAGGTAGCAAGTCATGTAGAACTGTTGTAGTAAGATGAGACAAAGACCCAGCTATCTGGCCACAATCTTTGGAAGAGTAAAGATGAGACTTTAAAAGCTAAGAATGCTGAACCAACTGTTAAGCATGGGAGTGGAAGCATCATGCTGATGCATTTTGCAACAGCTGACTGTTTGACACTAGGACAAAAGTAAGATCCTAACAAACAGAAACACAACATTGGAATGGACAAAACAGGCTGACGTTAAAAATCAGAACAGGCAACCGTATTAAAAATTGTTGTATTATTTAAAAAAAAAAATAAAAAAGTAGACTTATACCAAAGCCTTAATGTTTATTATTATTATTATTGTTATTGTTATTATTGTTATTACAATTTGCATGTTTCCTCTATTTATTTTTTGTATTTTTTTTCAGTTATATCCATTACATTTTTATATGAAGAACTGTTTTTCTTATTTTTGATTTTCAGAGATGTCAGGTACGGGAGAGGAGATTTCACAGGTGCACTGGAAGCAGCAGTGGTTGGAAAACGGGACGTTGTACTTCCACGTCTCCATGACTGAGCCTGAGCTCTTGGCACAGACGACACAGCCCACAGCTCGGGAGCCAGCTCACGCACTGCACGAGCACATGCATCTGCTTCACATCTCAGTTATGGTAGGTTCTCGACTGACACATGATGGCCGTAAAACATGGTCTGTATTCTACGAGTTTGAAACTTTTTTCTTTCAACAATATTCATGCTTTCTCCTTGACTCCTTTCTCTAAGACATCTTAGACGCGGTCCTGTTTTAAAGTTTTAGCATCCACAGACACCAGGAAGAGGTTGATGGGGTTACAAAATGGATTTGATATGATAGCTTTTTAATTTTTTTTGTTCTTTCACGATGTTGGCATATAGTTTAAACAGGCAAGCTTTTTTTGATGACATGATTTCATTTAAAATCCATTAACTTTCCCACAAACTGATATGTTTAAAGAGGTCCTCCATCATTGATGGTTTGAAGGTAATGCTTACCAGCCACTTTAGTCTATGTTTAGAAAGTTTATACTTTGTGAGAGGTTTTTCTTTGAGATTATGAATGTGGCAATTAGTTTTTCAGATGTTTGACATCTCTTGTAAACTCTGGGTTTTCAAACGCATTGACGTGGGCTGTGCTGCTAAGGAGTTTGGAGACAGCTCTATGGCGTCACAAGGTCAAGTGTGGGTGTGAAGGTTAAGATCTTGAATTATCCGAGCTGAGCGTTTCATTATCGTGCTGTATTTTATTTTATTTTTTTCATGGATTCTGAAATCTGGTTAATTAATTACTGTGAATTATGAATTTTCTAACCTTAAAGCTGCAGTAACTTTTATAAAACATATATATATATATATATATATATATATATATATATATATATATATATATATATATATATATAAATACACACACACACAATTTTGTGAAAGCTACCCACTGCAGCTTTAAGCAGGTGGTTATAATAGTCTGAGTTTGATTGAGTTTTCTTTCTTGTATCTAGCTTTGCATGTGAAGGCATGCGTTTTTGAACATTTTGCAGCACGGGTTTATTGCTTTGCTGCAGTATGATTGACGTCTCAGAGTATAAGCTGTCACTTCTATCACTAACACCACAAGTCACATTACTGATGTTCTACAGTTTTAATTTTGCTGCTTTGTTTGCCACTACCAAAATTCTTTGTCTGACTAGAGGTTTTAGTACCACTTCTAAAGTATATTTTTTTTGATGTGCTATTTTCTTTGTTTAGAACTTTTCAAATTCTCCATTTGTAAATAATTTACCTTTATGGATGCATTCTGACATCCTATGAGTTGTCTTTACTGTGATTTGCCTACTTCCCCCAATCATCTTCTTCATCAGCCTCTGTACTCAACACTTTGCTCATGTGCTCGACTTTTCAGATTAATTCTCATGTGTCACACCTTTTCTGCTGCTAACTTCTTTCCCTCCTCACCTTTTCTTCTTGCTCCTCCTCCTCCTCTATTTCTGTAACCTGCCTGTCTTTAATGGTCCTTTTCCTCTGCGTATTCATGCCGGTTTTCACCTCAGTTCCTCTTACTTCCTCTGCTTAAAGCTCTAAGTGTTCATCTTTTTCTTAAACCATTTTGTCCCCTCTTCAGTGGTGTTTTAAAGATTGGCATATCATGAAAGTATTTTTAAAAAAAAAAATTAAACAGGAGTTTAAAGTTATGTTTTAATGTTTCAGTGGGTATATTTAGGGTATCTCATTCACCTACATCTTCCTGTTCCCATGGCGGTGAAACAGGGATCTTCAAATGAGTATTAATTTTAGGTTGATGCAAGTAATGAATGTCAGAAAAAAAATATAGCTTACAGTAATAATAATTTTTTTAAAGGAGAAAAACCCATAACAGGTAAAGATAGATCTCACCAATATGTTTGCTACAACATACATGTTAGATATTTTTTCATTATTGCGTCTATTTCATGCGAATCTTTTCACCTGTGATTACTTGCAAGATACTGAGATCCTTCCTTCTGCAAACTTAATGGTAAATTTCATTGCAGTATCCTTCTTTTCATGATCTGTCTTTTGACAGTTTCAAAAGAATGCTAACAGTCCCATAATCCAATGATGTGGAATTTTTTGCATACTCTGCTTGTCAGAAGAAAATTAGATTTTTATTGATTTAAACTCTAAGAGTGCAAGTCGGGTTTTTTTCCCCTGTCATTATTTCATGTTTTCAGATTTCTTTCACATTTTGTTTTTGTACCTGACATTTATTTGAGGACGTTGTACACATTCTCACATTCTACAATATGGAAATCTTTCTAGCTGACTTATAAATCAAATCTGTCAGCAGAAGATGGCTCATAGTTTTTTTTTTTTTGTTGTTGTTGTTTTTTTTTTGGTTTCAGCAGGCTTCATAATCTTTCATTTTTAGGTGAGTCACGTTGCCTAAGAAGACCAAAGTCACAACCAATGAATTCATAGGATAACGTAACACCCCCCTACAAAAGATAATGTGCAAAAAATATTTAAGTAACATGTAAGATTTTAACATTTTTGAGTATTTTTTTTAAAACTTTTATTTAATGTTTGAAGTTATTTAAGGTTTTGTTCAATGTTTGTACTTTGGGATGCACAGTGGTTCAGTTGGCACCACTGTTGCCTTGAAGCAAAAAGATCATGAATAAGAATCCTCTTGTAGAGTTGTTTGGGGCATGTTCTTCCTGTGAATTCATGGGTTTTCTCCAGGTACTCTGGTTTTCCTCCAAAAGTCCAGGCTTTTAGGTTAATTTGTCTCTCCAAGTTGTCCTTAGGTTTAAGTGTGTGGGGGCAATATTGTTTGTCCAGTGAGTGTCTGTGTTGCCCAAGGATGAACTGGCAACCTGTCCAGGAAGGTTCGTCTGTGGGTGAAACTGCTGGAGACAGACACTGCTACACATGTTGCTCATTGAGAATGATAATGGTATGCATATTTTTCGGTATCATTCTTTGGGGAAAAATGAAATAAAAAAAGAGATAATTAGCATTTCTTCTTATAACTTTATAGTGCTCAAATGTCATTTGAGAGATGCCTGCCTTATGTTCTTTTAGAAACAGATTTCTTTGCTCAGTGAAAATCGTTGTAGCTCTACGTCTTCAAGGGGTAGGGATAATTTTGAGCTTAAGTGTGTTTAGTACATGGAGTGAGTTCATTGTGAATGTCTATTTTTTCTATAATTAATACGTTTTTGCATTGCATCTTCAGTATCTTCAGTCATGTTTTATTGATTGAATAACATACAACCCTTCCAAAGTAATATTTTTAATCCAAGCTGCACATGAGCAAAAGGTGAAATCCTTTCACACGTCACTGCACAAGACCTTATTTTGACTGCTGTTTTTCCTGCCTGCATAATTAAATGCTAACTAAGTCATGTGTCAGATTCAGGAAATACCTTCTTAAACCTAGCTTTCTATTTATCTCAGCCACACATAAAGTGTCGAGCGGGTTCTAATGTAATGTGAATAGAAAAGGAGAGTAGGGAGGGGAAACATATGGAGGCACTCAAAATGGGATAGAAGGTGCTCTGGTTAGGCTTCATGGCCCTAAGGAGTCTCCTGGCTCTTCTTGTGAACATCATAATGTTGATGCTGTCAGTTTTTGTCCAGGCTGAAGTGGTGAACTCCATTCTTTCAGCATTGAGTTGTCAGCTTCTCACTCACTCAGGCACCATTTCTGTGACTCCCACTACTTTTGGTTGTCCTTTCCGTCCTGTGACAGCAGTCAACAGACATCCTCCTTTTTTTAACACAATGTAAAATGATTATTGGTAAAGTCAACATGCTAGCAATGCCAGATAATGAGGGAACTATTGCATATTATAATGTGAAACAACTCTGTTAAGTGTACACAAAGCTTTATTGCATTGTCTTGACAAGTTCTGAATTTAAAGCTATACATGTGTATAGAACTTTTTTACAGATATTATTTCAATGATGAGACTAAAAGCCTGAAATCTGAATAGTCCATGTGACATCTTTGTATAGTAAATATGCTGGCTCTTAAATTTCCCTGGTACATGATGATGAGCAATTGCCAGGTAACAAGTAATAGATCCAGATAGTTATTGGCCAAGTCCTACAAGGTTTTCTGGTATTGTGACCCATATTTCAAGTGCTGATGAAACAGTGGATTCTCAGTCATCCATAACAAGACAGTCCTAACTGCTGAGGTAGAAGGTAACTGGACATGTCCACTTGTCTGTTGAAGACATTTCATACTGTAGAAAAACAACAACAAAAAATGTTCAGTTTCACTGACAATTTTGTGGAGCAACATTTCACTGTTCACAATTTAAATAAAATCAGATTTATGATTTTGGAAATTTTGAAATGGCAATTATTTTGGCATTCTGCCACAGCTATTTTTTTTGACATGAATATGTAGTACAGGTGTAAAAAGTGAAAGTAATTAATACAGTATAAAAGTATAAAGTACAAAAACAGGCACCCCATCATTATTTTGTTTAATTTTCTATCCTTATAATTTCTCATTGTAATAAGATCATTAGCGTTATTCAGTACAATTCCAAATACAACCATTAGGAGGCGCCTGTCGCATTGGTTGCATAGAGGTTGGACACAGAAGAAGACTATACCTTCCTGTTGATACAAAAAGAACAAAAAGAAGCTAAATGTTTGTGTCTCATCTTTTCTATATCACAGGTCAGTAAAACATTATTTTGATGCATATGTTGGTTACCTTTAAGAGTTGAAGGGGTTATTGACGCGAGAGTCAACCAGTGAGTCATACTGTGCAGTTTGTGACTAGTATTGCTAGCAGACTTTGTACATGTGTGTTGAGCTAGCTGAGAAACAACTGAAGGACGAGCGAATTCACTTTAAACTTGTGTTTTACACTTTTTATGTGAAAAAGGTTTGCGCTTTTTCCACACAAAAGACATTGTTTTGGTGTCTGTTTGTAAAATCTAGATTTCTTTATGGGTTATTGCAAAAAACAGATCCATATTGTTGGGAGGAGAGCAAACAATAGCTGCCTATATGTGAAGCTTAGTAGACGCACAGAATTAAAGGAGCATTAAGGTCTAATGCTAATGTATAAAGGTCTAATGTAGTTAATTTTTGTGTAAGGGATCAAGTATTATTGTGCTAAAACAACAGATGCATTTAAAAGCTAAAATGCAGAATAGTATTGTATATTTTATTTGTACAGAATAAAAGTATATCAAATAATTAAATGCAAATTCATATATTTTTGTTTTGATAGTTAAAA